AAAAGGAAACTGGTATACATGAACTTGAAATGTTCCTAAGTACTCGCAGCAAAAAAGATATGAAAGAAATTGAATGCGCGCTACAAAATATCGTGATTTTCCATCAAAATGATTGACAAGTAGGCATTTAATTTTAGATAGAAACAATAGAAATCTTTACAACCAACTTACAGAGTTTTTCACCTTCCACGATGAAGTAAAGTACTAAAATATAAAAAACCTTTTCCCAGCATGAAAATAACACAAAAAAACCCAGAATGGTAAAACTGCAGGCCGACATAGCGAGTCCTGATACAGAAAATCACTACACAGTCTAGAGAAAGTTATTGTATACCATAAATAGGTCTATTATGAACCGTTTTAGATAGGGCCGTCCACTTGGTTGCTTTTCATTCAGTACTCCTTCGTAAAAGAACAAGAAGATATTTTGGCAATATTGGAGAATAAGAAGACACTGTAGGTCTTTTTATTCAGTTTGCTACGATGCAAACCAATATACATTGTTAAATTGACATACGATTGCAAAAAATTACCCGTTTTCATTTCTCTCTTTTTCAGTAGCCCTTTGTCGATTGGAGATGCTGGCTTTACGACCATTGATGCTTTGTGATCATTATGTTAATGATGTTAAGGTTACTGGGGTTACTACTAATGAAATTAGCTTGCCTTTGGTAGATGTTACATATTCTGTGGCATTGGCAGCTTCAAATATTCGTTGTTGGGAAAAGCAAAAGGCACTTTAGGGTAGTGTTAAGGGTATTTGATTGTATTACTGCAAATAACGGGGTTTGTACTATATTGTCACGAATAATCATAATCATATTTTAAACCAAGTTACATTATTAGTACTTGTGATCGCGGTAAAAAATCACAGCAAAAAGTAGCGCGTTTTGATCGAGCCCATCGAAATGCATTCACGGTGGACGAAGCTAACGAAAACTCAAAGCAGAAATAAAAAGGGCGTTTTTTCCTCAAACTAATGTAGTCAAACGGTCTTGCAGGGCATCAATCTAAAGCTTTGGTTGATTACAGCAATCTAAAGCCGTGCTTTTTAGCATGCCATGTTGTTGTATCTTTCGCTTTCTTTGTAGTCCTGTAGTCTTGTATATGATCTTTGAAGCACCGAATGATGGCATCCCGAATTGGTATTTCGTCTCAAAGTACAAACAATACCACTTCTCCTTTCCCCACAAAAACACTTCGTAACGCATAGCTTAAAGGACAAGTGACACGCTTTTGGCGCCAAATTTTTTTCTTCTTTTAACTTAAAGTAAAATGCTGTATGAGAGTGCTGTTAAAATATTTTTCCTTTCTGATTTCATTTTCCTACTTAAAAACCCTTTTCAAATTATTGCGGGAAATAAGTCACGTGACACCGTGACGTAGATTGTGATAATTTGCTATTGCTGCTACTGCTATACAGTGCAATATCAACGTTTACAACACGTTTCTAAACGAATTCAGTTCGTCTGGACCTGTCGCGTCGTGTTTCGCAAACTCTCTATTAATGACAGGAAAATTCCGAGTTATCACAATGTACGTCATAGGGTCACGTGATAAAAAGCAAAATCGCGCCCCCTGCGCCCCCTGATTAGAATTTTTTGTTCTAAACCAGGAAAAACTTACTTCTAAATGATGATCTATAAGTTAATGAAAAGAAAAGATAGGGTGAAAAGTGTGTCACTTGTCCTTTAAGTTGTAAGACACCATTTTTGAATTCAAAGTGGTACATATTCTATCTTTTTAATTCAATATTCAGGTTTTGTAAAAAATACCTTCCATGTTTGCGGCGGTGGCGCCAGCGGGGAACGGGGGAAGGGGGAGCTACAGCCCCCCGTCAGAGTTGCTTAGCCCACCTGTCGGAAGGTATACGAAGAAAATCTATAACTTTGTCGGAGCAAGATTTCGCTACCGTTTGTGAAGTTTTTAAAAAAAGAAAGAGTAACGGTTATAATTACAGAAATCCCACTGAGTATAAATGTACAAACAGGGAACCCCCAAGTAATTTACACACCACATCGGAAAACTCAACTCAACCCTCTCTTTCGGCATACCAAACGGCAAGCGGACTATCAATATAAGTAAAATTCTTATAGACCACTGGGACATAATTTTAAAAGATAAAAAACTAAAAAAAGTATGGAAACAGCCCCCTATTCTAAAATTAAAAAGATATAAAAACATTGGAGATCTGATAACGCACTCTTGGGACACATGAGTGACACCCTCAAGAGTTCTGAATCTGTTCTAACTGAGCAGATTCGGCATTTTTGGTGTTTACTTGGCAAACTTGGCGGTTGCATTGATTAAAGAATCAATGATAGTCGATGGTATATTTGATTGTTTTTATTCTCATTTCGATTTTATCCTCTTCACTCCCTGGTACGTCAATATTTTAACGAAAATGGCAAAACGAAGCCAGTGAGAACCAAACTCCACATTACAATGTTTCAGGGTTGGCTGCACGAATGACGAGAATAGCGTTCCGCCTGTGGATATTAATTCTAAGAGTAAGGTTATTTTGTAACAGGCCCGTAGACAGCTAAACTGGAGTGGGGGGCGTGGATAGAAATATAGCTTTTTCTATACTTGCCCTACGAGATACTATCAGATCAAGCTGTGCTTATAAGATCTTCAAACACAATTTTCGCAAATTATTGGGGGGGGGGGCATTGCCCCCTGCCCCCAGTGTCTACGGGTCTGATTGTAAGGGTAGAAAAAATTTCTCCAATGAGACATTTTCCAGCGAACTTGAATCATCAAAATTCGAAAATTTATTCACCTTCTGCGGCAACGATGGTGCCGCCTCAGGTAGTAACTTTCGTGTACATGTTTATTGCGACACGAGCATCTGCAAGCTAGCAAAGACTTAACCTACCTAAGCAACATTGGTCCCTATTCTGCTTAATGATTAAACGATGTCGTTTTCCTTACCCAGTAAAGTTTAGAGCGTTGAGAAAATTGAAAAATGACTGAAAAAGATCTACAAAGAACTTTCTTAATATCTTTTATAGGCCTAGTTCTTACAAGTAGTATGTATTGTAGGTTTGTATCTTGATATGTAACAGCCCTATAAAAGCCATGCAAAAACTAAAAGGCTGCTAATTTCCCTAAATTTAGTGATGATCTGCATGCGTTGTGTACTCAATGTTGTCCAAAGTCCACTTTCAAAAGTAGCCTAGAGCCATTGATTAATTGGTATTAATTTAATTTAATCCTAAAGTTAGGCTTAATTTCCGTGAGTACAATAATTCAGATAAAATGCTCACAAAGATAAACTCTCAGCTCTCCTTAAGGATATATCTGCTATTTTCAAGGAAAAGGTACCTGTCACATGACCGCTTCTAAGGCAAATGTATCAATAATGGGTCTTGTATCAATAAAGAATGACGTCATTGGTACGTATCGATCTAAGCCTTTCTTGAGAAAATAATTTCAAGTTTAAACAGAGCAAATTCTAAGTTGATCTCTGCATAAAATTGAGCAGTGTATCTTATCAGGGAAGACGCCTTCGATTATAATATATAAGTAAGTGAGAGATAAGATACTCCTCCGAAGGCAAACTGGCCCCATGAAATAGTTTTGGCCAGCACGCCTTGAGCTTCGAGCATTTGTATCTGTAGAAGCAGATTCAGATTCGCGGGAAAGACCTTCCTCATAACATGACAGTTTCCAGCCGGCTCCGCTTTAAAAATTGTCATTCGCCCACAATCGTCATTTAAAACTGCAACTGCCGTTTGTTGGGGAAAATATAGGAATTAAATTTTTTTCAGTTATATTTGCAACGAGCTAGCTCATTTTCAAAATCTTGAATGTTATTTATGATATGAATATGAAATGAACATTGGCGCTTCTAGCAATTCTCCAAGTGTGCTGCTAGTGTATTGCAATTCTCTAATTTTGCCTCTGTAAGCAAACTTAAAATTAACCCAGGAATATCCTCCATTGTAATATCTAAAACTTTGATCAATACAACAAATTTGCTGGGTACATAAAATCAGGAATTTAAATTTCCTTTAAACTACTATTCTTACTAATTTTGGGGACAGGGATCATGACAACACTTTATCAGCTCACACGAGAGCCCCCACATTATGAAAGAGTTTTAAGAAAATTGCCAATTATAAACAAATGGCAAAGTTTTCTGCTACATAAATGCAATTCATTTTATTTTGCAGAAGAAAGTGGACCAGGCAGGTAATTAAAAAAGTTTGTTATTCAAACAAAGAAGAAAAATGTGATGTGATACATAATTCCGGCTTGGAAACTTGTAAAAATGTGTACAAACTCCATAAAACTCCATTTTAAAAAGGAATTACCATATATTTTACCCATAGCAAAACTATCTTTCCAAAAGCTTGCTAAAAGACCAGCAGTATATCAGTTGGTTAGATATGCGAGCAAGTGTCAAGGAAGACCCACCATGACGAACATGTGTGAAATGATCGAGGAACATGTGTGAGAATGCGACAACCAGTCAACATACAAGCTAGATTTGCCTCTCCCAATTTTTTGCGAAATCAGCAAAAAGAATAAGAAGCGAATATAAAGCTCGCCACATTTTGCAAGGCTTAATGAAAGTAGTGAAGAGAACAAGGGACTCTCTGACTCTTTCATGTAGTTCGTTGCACTTCTAAACTCTCCTATCACTTCATACATCGACTGGTGGCTGTGCTAGGCAGATTTTTCAAGATACCCTTAAAAACGCCAATGAGATTGTTGAGAGTTTGGACGACATGCCAGAAGATGCAAGTGCAGGCAAATTTGAATTTCTACAACACTGAACAAAATCGCAATTGCGACACTGTGACAAGGCATGGAAAAACAGGCATATTCGCTTCTCTGTGACATATTTGGTTGGCCTCACTGGAAGCTGCATTTTCAGTTGGTACAATTAGACGAAGCTCGTTGGCAGCTAGGAGTCTTCGAAATCCTATTTTTATATGATTTGCGAGAAAACAAATAAAGAAACACAGGAAAGTTGCCCCACTTGCAATGTTTTTGAGATAGCTTGGGAAAAGCATTCTCATCAATTCTTTGCTATTCTAATCTATTTCAAATGGACTGCTAAAGTTGTTGACATTTTACCATATTAGTGATAAAAAAGACTCAGCTACGATAACAATTGTACAGAAAGCAATTTTTGCCTTACACAAAGTGCTTGAAGTACTTTGTTACTGTGTATTAACACCAATAAGCCTGCGAGGAGAAGATGAATGATGTTCTTGGCATAAAACTGACATAAAATATGATCCTAAAATTTGCCTCATTATCTTTTAGCTTGATCACGCAGTTTTGTTGAGGAATATTTATCTACGCAGTTCATTTACACCCTTTCTTCACTGTAAGAGAATTTAATGAAATGGCAGCCTTCGGAAAATTGTCTGCACTAAGCTTTAACAGCGTTGTTGAAAATTATAAAAAAACAGGTATCCGGGTAATTAAACTGCTCTTGTTGCCCTTTCTAAATAATTACTATGTGGCATGATGTACTTCTCGTTACAATTATGTCACATTGACTAGTAAACATCCACGATGCTCTCTCATTTAACACTGGCTTCATCTCTTTGGCAATGCCAAACACAAATGGCATATAATGGCGTACCTGGCAACAACCCCATGTCCAACCGACTGTCATCCGAAGCCGAATAGAAATCGGAACAAACAACCGGAACAAGCAACTGGAACAAAAGCATGAAGTTTCACTCACACACAGTCTATGCAAGTCATCTTGGGGTTTTTGAAGCCATGCTCAGGTAAGAGTTGTGTAGCTTCTCCAAAAATGTGTTGTCATTCTGGGAAAGAAAAAAAAATACATTCCAAAACAGAACATTAAGAATAACGAAAATGCATACAAAATTGTCAACAATAATTGTGTTTTGCGAAAATTTTGCTCAATCATTTCCAGAAGACTTGTACCATTTTCTACTTTATTGATCAGTAACCCATGATGATTCAAATGAGAAGGTCAAAATGCGTTACAAAGAACAACCTTGGCAACAAAACCAGCCGTATTTTGGAACCCCACCCTGACTGATTAACAAAATTACTCCTTATTACGCAACTTTATTTCTAGATTTCTACTCAAATTTTCATTTCCTAGCGTAAAGCTTCGTCTTTGTCTCCATGAAGTAGTTTAAATATCGAGTTAGTTGGGATGTTGTGCACGTCATTTTCAAATGATCAAATATAAGTTTGTGACCGAATTCTAGTAGCATCATGTTACTCCCAGACACTGCTCATAGAAACATTTTAATTTTTTCTTTAAATGCACAAAGCGAGAATTTTCCCTTAATTGAAACAAAAAATATAAAAATTATTAGATACTTTTCTACAAATAGGCCAAGTATTGGCGCATTCAAATCTGGACTCTAAAAGACTCACGAAGAGCAACTAAATAGCTTTAAAAACGTGCAGTTATTTGAAATGGTGCATAAAATTAAATGAGTCTATCCTTGTTGTGATATGAAAACAGCACTGGGATATGGAAGGCGTATTAAGCCATCGCAAGCCTCTTTGAGCTGGGATCAACGGGGCCACAAAATATCAAACAAGGCTCTACAGCATACACAGAACAAGAAACAAAGCCCATGCTTTCAATTTTACGTGTATAAGTCACTATTTGAAAAAGAACTGCGTATTTAAAGGTATTGAAAGTTTAGCATTAATTGGAAAACGAAACGATGTAAAATCAAGTGTAAAACAAGTACACAATGAAGTATATCGCACGATCCACAATGAATCCATTTCCAAAATTTTTGATGATGTTTCATTACAACTTATTCTGTTGCAATTGAAGATTAATTTTTGTCATTGTCCATTCTATCTTGTTTGCATAGCAATCAAGCATTTAAAGCTTCAATTTCTTGGTTTTCAAAGATCTTTTGGATCAGTCCGTAATCTTTTAGTGTAAAATCGAAGAAAATTTATCCTCAATATAGCTAATAGAATCAAGAGTTGTATTAAAGCACAAATATTTTCTTGCAACGTGCGACAATTATTGTCTAGAGCAAAGCCCTTAATTTTGTCGACAAATAACCAAAATTTTAAGATGTCCTCGCTAAAAGAATGAGCCCTTAACTTCTGTCAGAGACATGAATTTAGAAATGCCAAAAATTCATGCAGAATTTGTTGCGTTTTCTTGAAAAGTTAGCCCTCAAAGCTGAAAGTTATGTCCGAATGGTAAAACATTCCGTTTAAACATAGGGTTTAGAAAAGGAAAAATTTGATCAAGGGGGACAGTTGTTGATATGGGCTTCTAGAATCAAAGATCAAAATTTAATAAGCTCGGTTTAAAATCTACAGTAAAAATGACCAATACACATTCAAAAATGACCATAAAGTATACGCTTTTATCACCTGCAGTAAATCGATAAATGCATCTCTGAACTGCTGCTTATTCAATTGTGAAACTTCTCCTATGTTGGATATATCCTGAGAGCTTACTGCTTTTAAACCGGCCTTGAATTGCATTGGTGACATCAGTGAGCCGACAAGGCCACTTGGAGGGGGTTCTGGAAACTTCGACCCCAACATCAGTTCCTAGAAAACCAAAACAATGCCTGATTACAGACATCATAATTGACGGCCCTATCATAATTCCATACACGATGACAAAAGAGGCAACTGTAATCTAAAGAGAATTTACGACTTAAAGTCTCTACTAGTTCAGCCCTTACCCTTCCATTTTCCTATTGTAGTGAAAAACTACATTCTGAACAGATAAAGGTTGTAGGAATGCTTTTTTAACAAAGAAAGCAACATCTAAAGGGTGGATGGCAAAGAGGATAAGCAGGCAGCAATGATGGATTGAGAATGTTACTCGAGTCTGAAGTCGTCAGTTTTTAAGCTCTAAAACACTGCATTTTAATATGACTTACACGACGGGCAGTTGATCCTGACGGAGAATCAGCTAATTGGGTGAGAAGCCCTGAAAAGAAAAAACAGTAAAGTTATAAAATGAAACATCATTAAGAATTGAAATAATAAGATTCCAAAAAATCAAAAAAGTTCATCTGTAGCAACAATTGCCTAGAAAATTCCCTTTAAAAGATCTAGCAAGGTGTTGAATTGTAACAGCTTTTCGAATTTATATATGGTCAGAAATTTATGACTATAGGAGAAGACGAATTGTCAAGAACACAACTTCAGTATTATTTTAACCAAAATCTAAAAGATAGGTAACTGTAGAGACTAAAATGTAAATTTAATTAATGCTATCTTATTACAAAATTAGCGAGTCGAAGAGTTACTTTACGCGTCAGCTTGCATAAAAAAGAAGTCACCATCCAAACATAACATATTCTGTGATCATACTAAGGGCAACCACGTGACAAACTAAATATGGCATATCTAGCACACGATGGTATGAGGCCTTGGCTGTTGCGATAGAAGTTTACATCCTTCAATCATCAAGCTTGAATTAATGCGTGAAGCATTATCGGATACCAGCATTTGGACATAACGATATCATCTCTTAAGCAAAAAAAATTCTTACTTTCGATAGAAAATATGCTGCTAACAAATAATTGCGCCAAGAAAAATGAAAAAGGGGTCAAAATGGAGCCATTCAAATTAGAAGATCTATAAAGTTGTTTAATGTCGAATGATAAGAGTAGAAAATAAATGCAAAATTCTTACCTCTCCCTACTGATTGTCTTGTTCCTTTTATTTTTGTTGGCGTTCGATTCATAGGGCTATTTTCAACGTCGTTTCCAGGGTTTTTAGCGTTTGGAACAACATCTCTAGCGTTTTCTGCTTCTTGACTGTCAGTGTTGCCACCTAAGTTGCCCAAAACATTAGCCTCTAACATAGCTACATCAATAACGTTCGTTTTTGGTGGAAATGTTCTCTCCTTTTGCTTCGGGGCGCTATCCTCTCTGTGTACAGCAAGATCACCAGGGTACTTCTTAAGCTGTTCGGCTAGCATTTTGTTTTCAGTATCCACTTGTTCTCCATAAGACAAAGTTCTTGACCGTGACTTTCTTGCTTGCCGTTTCGTGCCCTGTAGCAGTCTCATTAAGGTGTCAGAATCTTGGCTTTTCTTGCCTTTCATATTCATGGAAATTCCAGCATCGTCACTGTTGTCTGGTACAACTTCATTTATACTCTGTAAGAGAGTTTAAACAATGATGCTTTATCATCAATATAAACAGGAACCTGAATTCATGCTACCCACATAAACAGGCTTCCCTCCAAATATGAAAATACAAAACGGAATCTGATATAAATAGTTTTCATTACCAATCCCAATTCAGTTCTTCAAGTTTCCCAACAAGCGAAAGCAAGTGAATCAGCTTTGCCGTTAGATATCTTTACCGGAATCTTATATAGATAGGTTTTCATTACAGAATTCAGTTCTTCGAGTGTCCCAACAAGCTCATAAAGTTCTGAAACGGGACTGGCAGACCTCAGAAAGAGAGGACCTTTATCCTCCTAATCTTAAAAACCCAGTAACAAATCTTCTCATTGGTTAATCAAACTCAAAACATGTATAAAGAATTAAAACTCTTTTAGGATGTGAAACATGAACAGGAAATATGTTTTTCCTGATTAAAGAAAAAGTTTCAGATCTAAAGACGGGAATTTTAGTGTCAGAGTTGAGGATGTTAAGAAACAAGTTCAAAAGTCAAATGTCAGATAACTACGAAATTATAAGCAAACGCAATAAAACTTGACCAATGGGTTGAAATTTAGACATGAGCTATCTTTTTTCGCTATTAACACAATTTAAAATTTAAAATTTAAGAATTTAAAAAACGTCAAAAACCTTGAAATAAAACTAACGGATTTCTTGGAAATAAAATTGATAAGCACAGAGATTATTTATCTGGATTGACAGCCTATTGACCAAAACATTTCTTGTAAAATTTACTAAAAATGTCATTTGGTGCATCTCAAATTATTACTCAGCTGAGAAGGCCTTTTTTATCGCGAGTCGGTTTGCACCAATCATCATGGATAAAATGGGATGGTATACCTTAATCTACATGTGGTTTCAACTAAAGAACCTATCGATTCTCTAGTTTGGCGTGAAAATAACTCGTGACTGCCTGGATACTCTATAAGAATGTAGAGATCTCAACTTCACTTGTAGTTGAGCCTAGTCCATGCTAAGAGCGTCCCTGAGAAAAACGCATGCGTTTGCTCTCTAATTTAGCCGATAGAAAGAATATACAAGATGTAGGGGTATTTGATGAAAGCAACTGGAAAGGCGACCTTGAAGCCATTCTTGAGCAGCAAGCACTTCAGGGCTTAGCTGAAAATTCGAACGGAACTCCTTTTCTGCCCATTCGACAAATATCTCCATTAATTCAATGCAACTTCAAGATGAACAACATAATTACATCCATATACATGAAATCTTTGAACGATTATTTGCTAACTACGCTGTTCTTTAACAAATGCATTATCTACACCTTTTTATTATGTCTGTCCTTGCAATTGCTATCTCTTCATTTTGTCCGTTCCGAGCATCCTGACCTGATATCTCTTTGCCGCGATGGCTCTTGTCGAACCAACAAACGTAAAAAAACGATGAATTCCTTCCCATCGCCAGTTTATGCGCTTCTATGGAATCCACAAGTAAAAAAGAATTCGAACGAAATTCAAAAGGGGACTCACTTCTGGAAATGAATTCGTTCTCTTGAGAATGGTTGGTCTATTCTGCTCACTGGGCACAAATTTCGTCATAGATACAGATTTGGTGATGCCGTCTTTTTTATGATGCCGCTGAAAAAAATACTGACAGGTAAAACAAAATAATCATTTCCATAGGAAAAATAGCCTAAATACTTAAAGATTTTTAATATTAAAAATGGAAGCAGCACGGTTAATTCAAAAACAGAAATATTTTAATATTTCTAATAAAATTGATTTTTGAACTGCCTGCTTATTCAAACAATTTTGGCTTTAAAGGGAAAATAAAACAAATTTTACTGCGTTGAAATCGTACCAAAAATACTTCACGAGGATGAAAACGTCTGAACTGTATACGCGAAAGGGTAATACAAGTTCAAATAATTTTCGTTTCTCACAAGTTAAATTTAAAAAATGCTTCACGCTGTTGAATAAGCGTAATAATTTTTAATCAATAAATGAAAAACGAACAAGTTAACTCAAAAAATGAGCAATTTTGTGTACTTTAGCTTACGTTATACAGTTTGAAAACGCTGTTAGATTTCAAAAAATTGTAACTTAACTAAAATCGATGGAAAAATTTCACCTAAACGGTAAAACAGAAAAAATAACATGACAGAAAAGTCATTAAATATCTCTGACAACTTGTTTGTGGGTTGAAGAGGCCTCGAGCAAAGTTGAAAATTTGCGATAAGTTTGCAAAGGTTATAAAATTGTATGAAGTTCTTCATATTTTAATGAGAATATCACCATACCTCTCTTCTAGATAATCACTATTTAACCTTTATCAAAGTCTCATAAGTTTTTTGGCCTTAATTGCAATTTGTGCAAGTACAGGGAACACTGCATCTTTCTCCAGCAATTATACACTGTTGATTTTTTGTACTAAGCCCTAAAAAAGTACCTTTTACAATGACCAAGATAACAAAGACGATGCCAATGGGATCATGGTAGGCATGGCTACCCATTAACCTTAACAGAAAACAGTAGCCCCAAAGGCTATACCAAAATTCTGCTTAGGTCCTTCATAAGCTGACTTTGTTATTTGAAGCTTTTTTGCTTGGAAATCCAAAAGGGTTTTTACCTGGTCAAAGTCTTCCTTTGCTTTGGCAAACAGCTGCATCACATCCACTTTCGGGGGCTCAGCCTGCAAGAAAACAGATTTTGAATCATCCATGTGAAGCAGGATAATTTTTTGGAGAGATTAAATCTCAGCCATTCTTACAACATTGTAAATGTCAATTTAATCAAGTGGATGGCCAGAGTTAAAAGGATGGTTCTACAAACAACCTGAAGTTCACTACAAGTCAGGCATGGCAGCACTAGCTGTGGTGATAATTAATGAAGAGACTCTTGCATGAACTTAGGTGCGGGCATTTTGATTGGACAGAAATAACATTAGTTTTTTGAAAACAGGAAATAACTTTTAAAGGTACATTTCCATTTAGCTTCAGAAATAATTTCCTTTGCTGAGAAAAAGTATATCATGAAAATTCAAGGATAAATCATACTGCAGTTGAGTGTTTTGGTCAAAAAGCTTTATTTTAATGAATAATCAGTTGACTAAAACGAAATAAACTTATTGATTCTGTTATTAAAAATGTTTAACTTTAAAAAGTATATGTATGCTAAAAATGTCACCTTTTCAACTTCAGCTAATGCTTCATCTATTTCAATTTTAAGCTGCTCCTTGTCTCCTGCAAGTTCAGCTATCCTGATGACAGTAAAATTTGAGCTTATAACTTGCAGCCAGCAAAGTAGAAACCAAATTCAAAGAATATTCTTTAAAATTTACTTAAATTCAAAATTATAGTTAGATAACTTGATACTTAAAAAGCATAATTAAAAACAAACTTACATGTTCATAGATTACTTTTAGAATTATTTCATGCTCTGGGAGCCTACACAATTAAGAATTGAATGAAAATCTGGCGATAACAAAAAAGAATAGCTTGTAAAAACCTGGTCAATAGTGCTGAAATCCGTGCACATTCAGTTGCATCATAGAACCAAATTCCAATTATATCTAACAAAACAAACTAAAATCTAACATAGAGACAGAGATCATGTATTTAGTTCTATTTTCATAGAAAGCTAAAATAAATGACAGGTTGTGAATTTTCATATTAAAATATAACAAGCTGAAAAAGAATATTAGAGGGCTAAAGAAGATATTTTTCAAATAACATCTGAATTTCCAACACAGAATGTCTTGTGTGGGTGTGTGCCATGGAGCAGGCACGTAATCATGATCGCACTTCAAACTGAAACGCTTGTCACATATACTTGAAAATCATAGAATAATATATCACACACTAATGGCAAACATGATGACATTGGGAACAAGAGCTGCTAAATTCACATTTCTCACAAAATTAGTGTAAAGAGAGCACTTAAGACCTGCATGGACTTTATGACATAAACCTTAGTAGTCAGCTCTCTGTAATACAGTACTACTGGCCCTAGGACTTTGGACGTTCACAATAAATTTCAGCTCTAAAGCACCCACTAGATGATCACCCTGTTAAGAACCACTGGTCTTCAATATCTATCATGTTTGTTTTCTTGAGCGAGGAATACTCTCCGTCTGTTGCAACATAACATGTACTTATTCATTATCATATTTTCATGAGTCATTTCAATGTTGTGATCACAGTGATAGCAAACATAATCAATTTAATCTGTGGCTTGAGTAACATTTGCTATCATGCTTTTAATGGCTAGTCATTTTAATATTGATAAAAAGCTTATGACTTGTCATGGCCTATATTTTTCTGGCTTTGTTTCTTTTGCTTCAAGAATCCTTTTTGGAGATTGGAGAAAGGCTTATTTTGCTAAATTTTCTTTGTGTTCTGCAGGCTCTAGTTCCTCAAAGTTGCTCAGCATCTTTATGTCTTTTACTTAAAAGCAGAGAAAGTTTATTCAACTAGTCTAAAGGTGCTCAAATAAAAACCTTTTAAGACTGGCTGCTTTGATTTGAACAGAAAGTCAACACAAAATTATGTTCTGCAACCTAATCTCCTTTGACTTAAATAAACACAGCTTGACACTTTTCTGTCAAATATGTTTCAACTTTTATTCTTTACAAAAAATTCTCGCTAATCAATATTTCCTATGGCATTATGTATAATTCCTGCAAGAAATGCTCGCATGCATTTACCGTTCCTGCTGTGAGTCATTGGTCTTTATGAAGTGTGGTTTTCAGTTATTAGAAACATGGTTATTAGAAACATTACAATGGATAAGTAAAATTCAACAACAACCTCTCCAGATAAAGCAATACATCACATATCCTTACCTGTATGCTAAAACTTGTTAAGGTATTCAAAAGGTTTTTGAAAACTTGAAAAAATCATGAAATATCTAAAAGAAATTATGTGGATTTAGTTATGGTAAAAAAAGCACTGAAGATACCTTTTGCAGTTCTGCAAAGTAAGAATGGCTCTTGCTGTCTAAATTCCATTCCAGTACCAATAATTGTTAATAAATTTTCTTTTTTCAATCTATTCATTATCATCATTGCAACTGTAATCCCATCCTCATTTCTTTTATAAACAAATAATGAGCCTTCAAACTCTGTTTTCTCCTAAAGAATAAAAAATCAAAGAACTTAAGGTTGCCAAGTCCAGTACCAGCATCTACATGTTCTCAATAAATGCAAAAATGGTGATCATTCAAAATTTAAGGTGTACACTTAGGGTACAAAAGTATGGGAACAGTGGTTAAAAATGGCAGCTCATAGTGGCAAAACTTGTGTAAAGACAGTCTTATCGGCTTTTATTTCTTTCTCCATGAGCATCATTAATACTAGCCACCTTTCTTCCTGGAAAACTTAGGCCATCCTCCCTCATGGAAAGACTCAAATTTAGGCATGCAGAAAAGCCCACAACAGAGAAAAGCAAGATATTATCATCTGCCTTCTTTCCTTCTACCTTCATCATTTGTCAATATTAAATGAAACTTTTGTTGAGCCATTTGTTTTCAAATTCAGAGTTAAGAGAGAATGAAGTTATCCCCCAGTTTTAAACCCACATGAATGAAAATTGTACAAGCTTTTGTTTGGGTTTCAACAAATATTCGTTTTTGAGAGATGAAGAAACATGATGCAAGGTTTTGTTTTGTTTAGCTAAAAAGAACTAGTAACTTTTTCATTTAAATTCCGCTTCTTTTTAAAAAATTCTCCTTGCTTTTATTAACAAAATAAATTAGCAAAAAATACAAGTAATGTCATCAGAACATAATTTATTGCATATTTTTGAAAATAATTAAACACAAACTCCTTCATATTAAAATTTGCACAGTAAGAATTCATGACAAAATTGAATAGTTCTATAAGGGTGACATGACTCTAGGTGAAGGGGCTTGGGAACGATATTTAATGGCACGAATATGCATTTCTGAGTTTCAGTTGAAAACAAAATTGAAGGATTAGTTTGATGTTTAGAGGAAGAAATTCAGTGAATTTAGTGCTTCTTCAAAATTGCCTACATTGGATCTTAACTGTTTATTAATGCTTTGATAAATTGGTTCAACATTTCCCTGTATTTTGGTTATCAAAACAGTAAAATAATCCTTAAAAATTATTTTTATTTCAATGCCATTGAAATGACACATTATTTACGCAAAGGCCCTTTTACCAAGAAATTTTGTTTCCGAAAGTAAATGCCTTATACCCTTGGCCACTGTTAGCAGGGGCATAGCAGGAGGGTGACATAACTTTCAGAGATCCAGTCAGTAGATTTACATTTTTAACAAAATACTTTTATGCCAAATTAGACAAAAGAATTTATGGCGGTAAAATATGGTTTTGCATATCAAACCCCCCCCCTTTCTCCAGCAAGAAAGGTCACACTATGCCACTGAGTATGAGCCGCCATTATTGATTATCATTTCCATACTTTTTAATCCTAAGTGTATATAATAAAATTGAAATGTTATTCATTTCTTCTTCATTTATAGTTAATCATCGCAATATTCGATTTGGATTTGTTGACCTGTGTGCATATGTACTGCATTAAATGTTTTAGCAGATAAATACTAAAACTAAAACAAGATAAACAAAGAAATCAAGCATCAACAGAGGAAAACAAAACAAAAACAAGATGATTTTAAAAGACGAACATTTATTCAAATTGAAGATTTGAATTGGAACTTAATAAAACATATTTTTGATTTGAGACTTTTAGAAGCCTTTGTTATATAGGACCACATTAGATGTAAAGCTACCATAAATTAGCCTGTCTGATGCAAAACATTGTTGTTGTATGTTGTGTCATGCACGTTTGTGAAAAGTTTTCTTTTTGTTCCTCGTAAAAACATCAATGTGATGTGATACTCACCCATTTCTCTGTTGTTGCATCGAATTTATAATGTGCAACTGACGAAGCTGTATCTAAAATGCCTTCAGCGTGTTTATCTTGCTTTTTCAGTGCAGCAAAGTTGATTCTTCTCTCCCTAGTCTTATCATTACCTTCCGCCATCTTGGTCACTTCTGAGAAAGCTATGTTACCCCTGCGCCACAATGCGCGCGCAGTTCATGCGACCGAGACTCGAAATGGAAATAATTTTTTGTGAATCAAATACAATCTTGATTAGGAACAGTTCCAGGCAGTAGAATAACCAAGATGGTAAAAATGGGGGTTGCAAACGCGATTTCAAACATCAGGCAAACATTTATTACCTGTGCTACATCCCTGTTTCTGGCATATATCTTAACAGGAAGCTAGGCCATTCCTCTCTATTCTTTCGCACCCCAGCTGTAATCGTCACAATTGAATGATTATTAAATATTTTGAAACATCGACAATTTTGCAAGTAGTCAAGTGTATAGATCTAAGGAGCCGATAATAGGTTATCTGGCTTTTTCAAAGACAGGGTCCCTTTCAAAGCAATTATCTTACAAAATTTTATCTATGCCAAAAATCATTGGGAGTAGCTGTAGCCTGAGCAGGGCCTAAAATAAGCTTTGTGGAGTTGTAAATTAAAATTGTGGACCTGTAATTGTAGAAAGTGTGGATTTGTAAATAATGCATGTTCTTAAAAGTGCAGCATAAAATACCTATCGAAACGCCTAAGAAAGAAAAGGGAATATTTTTCCAATTCGCAATGAATGCCCATTATGTATTGCACTCATTTTTTATAAGAAACTTGCGATAAGAAATAAGCATTGGATAATAAAGAAGAATTAAGAAACTACAAAACTCGAAGCTTTACTGCATGCGGAGAAAAATCGATTGCGCTTTATGATATTGCTGTGTGCTATTTTGAAGTAAAATGGACTCTGTATACAGCTTTAACTTCAAGACATCATCTCAATTAAGTTTGCTTTTATGACTTGCTTCAAAAAAGACACTGTGCCTTAAGACCAAGACCGAGATTATGATTTCCTGCCCGTAATGTATTTTGGGGTTTTTATGTGATATCTTTCTGTAGATTTCAAAAAAAGTTATAAACCATTTCAACTAAGGTGTTTTGAATTGTAGAAGCATTGGAAAGATTCCTCTCAAGGCTACAGTAGCTGAACGATGATAAGCCTCTCGGTGGTAGCTGAGAGGAACATCCAATTGGGAATGTTGCATAACAGGGACTATAGTCCTCCTCAACTTTTTTGCAATAATAGGTTAGAAAATGTTTTGAAAGTTTACGCTAACGAACGCATTAGTAGCAGTTCTTCTGGGAACACGTTTTTGTTCTTTTTGATGATGCTTTATTTTGTGTGATCAAAGATAAATTTGTATTTTATCTAACTCGGTTTTGTATTTTTATGTTAATTGAAATCTTCTTTAAATCGTTTAAGATGATAAGGACAGAAAAAAGCAAATATTTTCTGAAAGGAGTGGTTTCCGGTGTTTCAAAGAGCGTGTAGGTAAAAAAATTTAGGGGCAAGCCTGCTAGTCCCGTTCAAGCCGCATCATTGATCCATTGTCTATCATTACCAATTGCAAACACTTTATACCAGCATCTGTGGTTTCATTTTGGGAGTAAATTTTGACTTTCTACCTTCAGGTTATTGCCAATTGTTTTGAATGGTTGGCAGCCACATATTTTGTGGTTGGCAGCCAAATGCAGCCAACTAAACGAAGTATACAAAAAAGCTAAATTTTTGCTAATTATTGAGAGTGATACCGTAATAAAAATTTGCTTTGTAGGTTACAAAAGTTTTCACTTGCATTTATCTTAAACTGTCTGTTATCTTTTGCTTTGTTTCATCATTCATCATTTGCAATTTTGAAATTATTTTGAATATTATCTGTGCAAAAATTTTTGTTTCCTTTGCATTTTCGTTGTTTTTTGCACCATGCTGCCAGAATTCAGCCAAATTTTGCTTCTTCGGCCAAATCAATTTATGACGGCCAAGGGGTTTTCAGAAACTGCCAAAATGGAGAAATTTGGCCATCAAACCATGGATCTTAATTGCCTTTTTGTTTATGAAGAATGAGTACACTGGGTTGTCAAAAAGACCAAATTGCAACTCTGGCCACTTCTGATATTCTGAGCATGCATTAGCCTCTTTCTCGAGCAGGGTTGCCTTGATTTGAAGTCTAGCATAATTTGTGCAAATCTAGCACAATCTTATGACAAATTTAGCGTAATTCCAAAATTGAGATCTGGTGCGTGGTTTCTGCATTACAAACAAGATGGGGGTAAAGGTCATGCTTTCAAGCTGGGCGAAAAGAGAATAAGAAGAAACAAGCTCAATTTGTACATCAGTGAGAGAAGAGTTCATTTGCCTTCTGTAACGAGGTTTTCGTTTAAAGTATCAAAACTTTTTGAAGAACAGATTTGATGACAAAGAATTTGATGAGCTGAATGCAGTTAAGAACTTTCCAAGAGTAGACAAGACTTAAGAAAGCTTCACCCAGCTTTTGTCCCGGACATCGCAGCAATCCCTAATTCAATCGATGCAGAGAGGCTGATTCCCACCTACAACAAGAAAGAAGCAGGTGGGGGAAGCAGCATAGCTCCAGAAAACTTATCAAATGGATAAATATTGCAATTAATATGCTTGATCTCGCAAGTTTCGAGTTCCGAGAAAAGCTGCAAAGATACGGTTCCAAAAAACCAAAAAATATCAAAGTCTGGGAAGCAAGGCTGATTAAAGGAAATTTCTGAAATGAAACGAAAAAAATAACTTTGACAGAGATCCGAACAAACCATGCAATAGAGTTCCTTTCCGATAACTTTTTGCTCACATATTAAGACATCGCTATATGTAGCTAATCTTCTTATTAACCCAATCCATATAATGTAAAGAATCAGGTTTTGCTACTTATACTTCATTCGTTTAAGAATTTGCCCCATTAGGACATGCTATTTGCACTATGATGGCAGTTTCTATATTTGCCACCCCCATGATGCCAATCCCAGCAAAGTACCACGCCCAATCTTTTTAAAAAATGTGGATCTGTAAATATTTCTTATTTTAGGCCCTGAGCTAGAGGGTAAAAGTTGTGGTCAAATTTTCATTTGAAGGGGCACAGCCCCCCGTTCCTCTTTGCAGCTACGTGGCTGAGTAGAATCCATTGGAGTATTGACAAATTGACATCTTAGTACGTCACTATTGACGAAGGGTGGAAGTCTTTTCATATCACCAAAGAAGTGTAATTTTCCTCTAAAAGGAAGGTATTAGGTCTAAAATTTATGCAATGAGACACAGTTTCCACTTTAAAACCAGAATGCAAATCTTATAATTGTATTTATGAAATTGGAAAAAGCCGAGTTTGCACATTTTATCTGGGAAATCATGTTGAAACGAACAATCCAGTGGGCTCTCTAGTAGCTTTTATTTTAGAAAACTTAATTAGCTAATGGATTATTTGCACCACTACAAGTTCCTTAGCCCGTGTTAGCAGATTCATTGCGATTCTGTACAACGTTTAATGAAGATAAATTGGTTATTTGTAGTTATTAGAAGAAACAATGCTTCCGGGGCCTTACCGGGGCCTTAACAACAAGTAGCATAAGGAACGCTTTTCCTTGCTTTAGGATTTTCCCACAGGATTTTACTGTAAACAGGACTCCCGAAATCGAAGCGTTACAAATACAGAAAATCGGATTATAAATAAACTATCTATCATTACGTTTGATCTTGTAGACCATGTAGATAGTTAAGACTTTCTTTTAGATAGCATCCACTCCTAACGTACTACTTTTCCAAAAACTGCAAACTGAAAAGGACAGGTGCATAGCTTCTGGAATGTGTAGGTGTGTCACAGCCAAAATTGCAAAAGATTCGATATGAAGGAATTGAAACAAAAATTACTAGAAGTGTGGTTAACTTTTGGTCATTATCCGGTGTTTTCTCCTTCAAGGAGTGTCTGGCGAATACTGCTGCTCTACGCCATATTGGTCTTTTAGTGCTGTTTTCAACATTTTCGATCCCAGAGTTAAAGTTTTCTTCTATTTACAAACAGTGTGGACAAACAGTGTGAATGAAAGTGCATTGTCGCCAGTTTCAATTGGATACAATTTTCTTTCTTCATAAAAAACCAACACCTAGGTTTCATTTTGTCTCTGGTAGCACGTTTACTCATATTTTAGCAGATTTTACTATGAATTCTTTACAGTTTTACTCTAAGAAGCGTCGACGCTAATTTCGTAAAGGTGAAATTAAGCACTCTCCAAAGCTTTTAATGTTTCTATATGGACCTGATCACTTTGCGGTATCTGAAAAATAGATAACTGAAAATCATCTGGTTTTTCTTGCTGGTAATGGTTACATGTTATAGTCTAAATTGATACTTAGCATACTAGAGAGCAGGTATTACATGGTAGATAATTCCTTGATTTTTTGTCCATTCTGATGTATTCACAGTGTTACGAATGCACTAAAATTATGTATAGCTAAAACGAAGTGCTCACATGCACAAAATTCTATTTAACAAGCTGCGGGGGAAATGATACCTTGGGGAACATACTCGTCTCAAGGTAACTAAACGTTCTAAAGGAGACATTGATTTTGCACTGAATAAATAATCAAATAATTTTTACATTCAGGTATAAAAACATCTTAAACTATGTAATTAAACAATACAGTAGATCAAAATGTGAGTATTAACAGACGAAGCTTTTTTCAATTTTTATCGAGAAAATACGCGGGAGAGGGGTAGGGGGGTGTTGATAACTGAAGTAAGAACAGTAAAATCTAGCATGACTGTTTCCATCTCGTCAGAGACTGATACATTTTTGCTGTTCAATAAAAACGACAATCTCTGCATAAAAAATATCAAATAAATTTTCTTATACCACACTGCATAGAAACCTTAAATACGTCTTCACCATACTAAGAGACAAATGGTTTCTAGGGCCATTCCAATATGTGTTTTCCACACATCAAAATGCAAATTTACTCCGGAGTAAGTACGAGTCTGTCAAAATCCATCAACATAACAAAACAGTTTTCTAGCTTTCCATATGTCTACCTTCGCAATATAGAACTCCAAAATCTATCAACATAACAAAATCTATCTCTGACTTTTCAAATGTACATCATCTCTTGGTTACTTCTTTCTCCATTTAAACGTTTTACACCTCGCCTCTTTATCATTTGCCCGCCCTTCTGGTCGTGCACAACAGTAAAACTGACGCCCTAAGTTAGGACCTTGTTTTTTAACAGTACGTAATACACAGTCTTCCTTGTGGCCTTCACATAGCGGTGGGGGCTCAGGTCCTTTTAAAATACTTTTCCATTGCATTATTTTGCCCCCAGTTTTTCCAGTTTCCTCGTTCTTTTTCTCGGTAGCACAACCAGTGGAAAATGTTGAATTTATGTGGGCGATACAATTTGACAGCGTTTTTTGCTTCGTAAGAGAAGGCATTTCATCGTGCTCGGAACCTTCTTTGTTGTTTTCTCCAGAATTAGATGTATTATATTTTTCGTTCATTTCGTTCATTTCGGTGACGCCAATAGCACCCCCTTTACAACACTCATTTGCCTTGGTGTCTGCAAGACTACCAAAAGTATCGCGAAAGATTTCTTCCTTGAGTGAGGAATCGGTAATTTTTGCTTCGGTAAAAAAGTCTAAAATTTCTTTTTTGTCTACTTTTTTATTCTTTTGAGTATTCGCTATACTCTTTTGAAAATACGATGCAAGGCTTCTATTAGATCCCGTTTCAGTTTGTGAAGCTTTCATTCCAGTTTTCTGCACCTTTGCTGGGTTTTGGCTCTTTTCTTTGTCAGCCTTGCGCTTTTTGCTATTATCTTTGTTTCCGTTGTTACCAAAAGTGCGTGGGTCCGTCACCGTTTGGGCGCATGCAAGTGTCTCACTACGCATTTTCATCTCACTGGACGCTGTTTGTTTAGGGCCCGTCTGAAAAAAAGCCTTGATGCTTTTCTGTCTCCCTCTAAACTCTGGCATGTATGTAGTGCACATGTCTGGCAAAGTTTCTGCAGCTTTAACGCTACAACTGAAGACAGCTACGACGGGACAATGGTCGGAGCCGTGTATATCAGGCCTAATGTCACAGGAAACTGCGTATTTCATTAGAAACTCTTTGTTCACTAATATGTAGTCTATTCTCGTTCCGTAATTAGTCTTCCTTGCACCAGTAACAGTGGACCAGCAAGTGAAAGCATATTCCCTCGTACGGTGAAAATAACGGAAGACGTCAACAAATCTTCTTTGGCGGTTCGATTTGGATACTTGCTCAGCATCGTCTGAAAGCTCCTCCGCATCATCGAAATCTTCGTAAGCCTCCGTACTTTTTACCTATCCAAAAGTGTAGAAATGAAAAATAGATGTTTGGCCTTTCAAGGACATACGGATCAGGTTAAGGTGTAGAAAGCAATGATCCTACATTCCTACATTTAAAGAAAGCCATTCGAAAACAAGCGCGATAAAAGTCTGAAATCAATAAGCAAAATGTCCCAGCTATGGAACAATACCTGCAATATAAAGCCAAAGGATTCTTCTTAACCAAACGAAAACAGAATTTGACTAAAGCAAGCCCTGAGTTAAAATCAATTTAACAACAGTCAACATTTTCGCTTTCCAGAAAATAAAATGCAAAGAACACAACTTTTAGGCTAGGTTTTCAGGCATTGTAAAACTAATTTTGGTAAAAAAGTTAAACATTCTGCATGTACAATATTTGATTGATACCACAAGTCTTGAAACGTCTATTGAAAGCGAGGAAAAAAAGATACGAAAGTTAACAGGTAGAAAGACAGTATTTTTATGAAATTATTTGAGCATTTTACGAGACTTCCTTTCCCTTCCTTTCCCTTCCTTTCCCTTCCTTTCCCTTCCTTTCCCTTCCTTTCCCTTCCTTTCCCTTCCTTTCCCTTCCTTTCCCTTCCTTTCTCTTCCTTTCCCTTCCTCTCCTCTACTCTCCTCTCTTTTCTTTTCCTCTCCTCTCCTCTCGACTCCTTTCTTCTCCTCTCCTCTCCTTTTCTTTCTTTTCTTTCCTTTTCTTTCCTTTCCCTTCCTTTCTATTTCCTTCCCTTCCTGTCCTCTTCTTTCCTTTCCTTTCCTTTTTTTTCTTTTCCTTTCTTTTCCTTTCCCTTCACTTCCTTTCATTTTCCTTCTTTTCCCTTTCCTTCCCTTCGTGTCCTTTCCTTTCCCTTCCTCTCCTCTCTTTTCCTTTCCCTTCCTTTCCCTTCCCTTCCTTTCCCTACCTTTCCCTTCCCTTTCCTTCCCTTCATGCCCTTTCCTTTCCCTTCCTGTCCTCTTCTTTCCTTTCCTTTCCTTTCCTTTCCTTTCCTTTCCTTTTCTTTCCCTTCCTCTCTATTCCTTTCCCTTCCTTTCTCCTTTTCTTTCCCTACCAATTCCTCCCTTTCACCCTATCCTTTAGCATAGTCGTGTTTCCAAAACGGAGCATTTGTTATACGGGATTAAATTTGCATGTTATTTACAGAGATATCAAGTTGCGTGGCTCAAAATTATTTACCGATTTGGGTAAAGAGAACTGGTTTGACTGCGACTCTTTCTCTGTTAGTGCCAATTCTGAAGAAGGTAGAAGAAATTGCGACATCCAAATTCTGCTATCATTCGAAGCAAAGTATTCCTAAAAAGGAGAATATCATACTTTCATTGACAGTCATTGAAATTTGAGTATTTGACTCCACTGACTTTATAAAAATTCATCTAGGTGGGCACCTTACTTCACGGGAGCTAACTAAGTGCAACTGATAATAGCTAGATTGCGTCTGTAGGTCTGTAAGCGCAGTTGCTAGTGCAAGTTGAGCCTACAAGCAAAATCTGCTTTTCGTGCAGAATATTCAATGAAATTAATATCTTAAAACCAAAAAGCAGAAAATGATTTGAGAAAACAAACTGAAAGAAAATGCAAATGAGTGGCGAACCAGAAGCAGGATACTGTTCAGAAGTCTTCCCTTATAGCAGGTCCGATGCATATTGAAATGGATGCTGCCATGCCTCCGCAGCACAATTTGTAAAGTGGATAGTTTAGTTCATAGCAACAATGAACAACGTCATTGCTCACGGGCTTCAGTCCTGTCCAGTTCGTGTCACCCATTCACATTTTCTATCAGTATTTTTTCATTTTATTGCAGAAATCTAAACTAACTTGATGAAAAATAGAATACTTAATTTTTCAAAAGTCTTAAAATTCAAAGATAGACTTATAAGTATCACAAACGATTAAAACTGCAAAAAGTTAATATTAGCAAAAGCTTGGCTGTAAAAACACACATTTGACATTTGACAACATTTATAAGCCTTGACGAGGAGCGAATGGTTCCTTGCTCATGGTCCTCTGACATCACCGAAGACCCTTAAAGAGGCAACAAACCTGTTTACCTTGTCCACAAGATCAGGTTTGAATACATAATAAAAGAAAAACAACCAATTAATGGCACTGCTTATGAAAAGAAGCAAATTTTCACGTCTCAAAGTTTTGAATATTACTTACTGGATCTGCGTCTGGGTCACAGTGGTCTAGTTTTGTGTGTGACACATTCAAATCGCCAACAATCATAACATCTCTAGAAAAATAAACATATCAAGTTGTTAGATAAACTTGAAAATGTTTACAGCTCCTGAGACATTTCTTCTGTCACCAATCTTTCAAAGTTAGGACACTGAGAAGCTTATCAAGCAGTCTCCTGATCATTCCTCTCAATTTGACCACACCCTATGATTCCTATACCTGGAATTACAAAAAGCTGGCGACTCTCTTTACTCTAAGTGAAAGTTTGGTCATGTCAGGACTCGAACCACACACATTTGGATATGTAGTTTGCGACTCTAGCCATTGAACCATCTTCACACTCAAACAAATCCAATCTTCTTGCTAGCGAATTCTCAGTTTTGTTGTCATCTATTCCCAAAAAAGGTTCAAACAGAAAAAAAATGAATTGGTGGATAAGTACACACAGGAAAACTGCAGAAACCTCCAGACCATCCAAACAGCAAAAGAAAATCAAAATAATTAAAAAATCAAATACACTTACTTTCCAGAGGATAACAATGCTTCACAACGTGCTTGAACCAAGTGATAAAAATTCTGCTTGAAAGCCCATCTTTTCTCGTTATCTCTGTCTGCCCTTGGGCAGTATAAATTGACAATGACGATAGGCCTATGGCCAAGGATCTCATGCTCTGAAAGTATTGCACGACCCTCTGCATCTAAGCTTGCAAGCTCTTCTTGGGATATCGACAATGAAGTTGCAGAACAGCCAATCACAGATGAGCTAGAGCCATTATTCAATAACCCAGTAAGCCCTTCCTCTACAGCAGTTGGGGTTACTTCTGTTTTACAGAACGTTGCTACACCTGAAAGATGAAAAACGTCGTGAAAATGATGACAATTTTAGCAGATTTTAACGCCTTTTAGGACAAAGTACGGTTAAGCAGTGGATACTAACAAAACAGTAAGATAGCTTTTCTACAAGTTTATTTCAATGACAGAAAAGTCGGATAAAATTATGCAACAAATTTAATAGAATACCAAGATTAACAATATAAACCCAAGTTCGTAAATTTCTTGAAGGCATGAGAGCGAGAAAAAGGATCCATAGTCCTAAAATTGTTGTCATAATACATTTTGATTTACTCTTATGGATCCTTGAGCAAATAATTATGGGCATTCTAATTATTGAAATTCTGTTCTCTTATCCAGACCTATTTTTGCTGGATGCTTGTTGGAGCAAATCATTTTATTGCATAGTTAGTGCATTCTTCATAACAAGGTTAGAGCATCGTCACAAAAATATAAAAAAATTCCTGTCATGATCTGCACCTGGATATAAATTTCTGCTTACTTTTAGTAATGATTCAATTTTTGAACTCGTAAAAATGAAATGTGAAATTAGCCATCTGTTCAGAGCTCTCTATAAATCACTCTTAAAAAATTTTGAAAGTTGAAGTCAAATATCAAATCATTTGGTAAACTAGCCAGTTTCTTCAACATTCAATTCTCACCTGAGTAACCACCTTTTATTTTTGAAAAACTGAAGAAGGCATTGTAACCATCAACAATAGCAGTGGCCTCATCAAGCTGGTCTCCTGAAAGAACAAGGAATAGCCAAGAATTTTAACTCAGAAGAACTATGACAGTTTAAAGAAAGAGGTTGACCTCTTTTGTAGGCTGTTTCTCAAAACTTCTTCCATCATCAATGAGCAAAATACGTTTATGCACCATTCTGTATCAGGCCAGACCAGGAATGATTTGCAGGCATGCAGTGAATTGCACTCCTTCTTGACAAAACAATGGATGCAATGGGGTGCAATGGGGTGCAATGGGGTGCAATGGGGTGCAATGGGGGTGCTATGTCTATTTTAGCATAATTTAGTATCTATTAACACTTAATAAGAGTACAAAATTTGACAATTTTACCTAATTGAAAATTCAAATTTTTTCACTTGTACAACGGTAAAGATTTTCTTTTTTCAAAGCCATTTATCAAATGGAATATGAAAATATAATTAGAAAAAACAAAAACAACACAAAAACTTAGGTTTATCACAAGGCTATCAAAAGTGAATATCCACAAAGTTAGAGGTTTTTGAAAAAACATTGAATCAACGTGTATACACAAAAGTGGAGGTTTTTTAAAACCCTCCATTTTTAAAACAATTTAGAAAAACCGAAGCAGTGCCAATGGTAAAAACCACCAAAAAACCGACATTTTTACCCACCTTTCTGTGAGCAGTGTGAGCGCACAAAAGAAGGGGTTTTCGGAAATGCTCCAAAAAACTTACAAAAATGGGAGCAGTGTGAATGATAAAACCATAAAAGGGAGCTATTTTACTCTCTGTTCTGTAAACAGTGTGGCCAGATATAGGGAATTTTTTGGAAATGCTCCAAACAAATTTGCAAAATCAAAAGCAGCATGAACAGAAAAAACCAAGAAAAAGTATCTCTATTCACTCTGCTTCTGGAAGCAGGGTGAAGGCACAAAAACTGATGTTCCTCTCTGTAGAGTGAAAAGGGAAAAAAGTGAAAGATATAAGTGAAAACCTAGCAGTGTGAAGGTGCTAAGGCCCTGTTTACATGATATACTGTTTTTCAGTTGACATCAATTGGTCTCACACTGGATCTGCCATCTTTTTTCACACAAAAACTGTCCATACCGTTTGGCATTTTAGAATGAAAATGCTTCAAAGGTGAGTTGAAACCAATCTGACACATGTAAACGGATGAATCTGATATCAAATGAAAACCCTGCTGCGCAGAGATGATAAAATAAGGGCAAACACCCTGCTGTATAGAGTTCTGGTGCACTACACCATTCTCATGTAAACAGAACTCCAAATCCATGATGAAATGAAAATGGTAATATGCAAGTAGGCAAAAATTCTGTGTTGGATTGGGAATCTAAATACAACATGGAATTAAAATGTTAATTGTTTAAACAAGACCTAAGAATGTTTCCTGTAAATGTAGTAACTCATAGCCTTGAAAGGCGTGCGTGTGATAAACCAAACTTCTTGGGGAACAAGGCAGGTGCCAAGGTGTGTCTGTGCGACTGCACACCTTTCCCAGAGTGGCCTGCTATATGCAAAATGAAAAACTCCTAATGATGAAATAATACAACTAAAGCTTGCAGAAATATATTGGTGTTTGTTTAAATAATTCAAAAAATCTTGGAATTTGTCAACAGCTGACAGGAGATTTTTGCAACTTCAGGTGCCAACCTTAGATCAAAATCCAGCACTATATAATGTGCACAATGTAGATTAAAAATTTTATTCTTCATGCAAAAGACCGGATGTCTCTTTGCTGCCCCAAGTTACAAGATACAGCCACTTTTAATGGAATTCATATTCATGAGGAGGCTATAACATTATATTGCAAAGTATTGTGCAACCAAGATGCAAATGTGGTGGAGCTGATGATCATTAGTGGCTCCAGCCTTGAACAAGTTTGGGGTTGGGGGTGAAAGAGGCAAAGCCCTAGAAAACTGTTTGGAGCTTGTTCTTTTTCCAAGGAGAGGTATTCTTTCTCATAGGAAACAAAACTTTTCTTTTTCAATAAATTGTCTTTGATATACTATTGGCAATAAAAATTATTGTATAAAACAAAACCTTAGACTGTTGAAATTGGAAATTTTATGTGTGTAAAAATCGTGATAACATCTGCAATGAAACACTTTAAGTTTTATTTTTAGAAAGTTCTAAAACGTTCACAATGGAAGCCTTCAATAGATCTAACACAATGAGCTGTTCATGTTTAATGTTGTAGACTATGAAATCAGATTCCTCGATTTCAATGGCAAATTGTCAAAGGGCATATGTTGATGCTGTTTTATCTCTCCCTGCTTACTTAAAGAAAACTTCTAGACCATTTTCAGTCATTGTAGTCTGAAGAAATTTACTGATAAGCTTTATTTTGCTCTGCCGCCGTTTGCACGAGGCTATTGATACACGGATGCATGAAGCAAGTAGTATTGCCAAATGAAGGCAGCTGCTACAACGCAAACCGCTGCAACTGGTTTCTTATCTTTTTTTAAAGTTGGTTTTGAGACCAATTACAGCACCTCAGTTTTTTTTAAAATATATAGCTGTTATCGATCAATTCTTATGAAAATACATGAAAATTAGATAAAAATTAAGAGGAGACGGGGCTAGTCTAGTATTTCAATTTGAAATTATGAGGCCAACACTCTGACATTCAAGCGCTACATACGAGTAACTTTGGTCTCTTGTAGACATATAACATCAGCTTCTAGAGATTCTAGCAGCTTTTTAAGAGGAACTTCTCTGTTTGAAGCCCGAATCCCATTGATATTCCATGTCAAAACTTTCATAACTCTGGTAATTACTCAGTAACTACAGAAACTAAATGTTGTTCCGCCATATGCAATGCGCCGTCCATTTCGATAAAGCCTCGTAACCAGGTCTTGGAACATTTCTGACGTCATATCGAAGAAAGGCAACGATGCTACATTTTTTCATTCCTAAAATTAAAACACAGAATATCATGTTTAGTCGACGGATCCGAGTTACTTGTATTCAGTCTGCATTCTGCACAGGTTGCAAGTGTATTCAAATACAGTGAAAGTCTTTAGATTACGTGTGAATATTGTCAAATAATGAGCATAAGAATATTTTCGACGCGTTTGTTTCTCAACCGTACCCATGCACCCAAATAACACCTTTTAAAAGGAGCTAACTGCAATATACCTTTTTGTCTCTTTGAAGAAAAGTCTCAGGAACTTTGATAACCAATATTTCCGTCTTTGAAAACAGCCGAAGGAATCTTCCCAGATTCCTGAATTTTGGGCCATTATTTTAAATGTATAGAGCATCGTTAATAGAGCCTGTTTTCTCACTTCATTTGTTAGCCAAGCAATGGAGATCATCAGCAGGAAGGCGCAAAACCTGTGAATTTTGAAGCCAAATTTCAGCCATAAAACTCCCTGTCATTGCTGAAGAGTCCTCAATTATACAGAGAGTAACACTCGTATAAAACGTGCTCCTGTCACTTCGGTGTTACATCATAATAACCTCATAATTAAACAGCCTCGTTTAGAACATTACATTCCTCCCCTAATTACAAAACAAAACATAACATAGCATAATTGATAAAGTATAACATAACATAACATGGTTCTATTGTGTCTGTTGTATTGTTGGATTAAAACTCAGTCTGAAAGTTTTCATCTCTGTATCTAGCAGGAGGTTGTCTTATTCTCACCGGTCTCTCTATTGGCACTTCATTTGGTGGAATGACATTTTCTTCTCTTTCATCAGTGTCAGGTGAAAGTGGCTGTGTGGTATAATCTCCTTCGCACCTTGACTTGTTCTCATCCAGCCTTTGTAGCTTCTTGAAAAATGTAATATGTCTTGTGATGGTTCTTGTGGCATTTCTGGCTGTAACTAAACTGCCTTTCCTCTTCACAACAATCATCGGCTCGTTGTTGAAAGGTGTGGTTTTCTTGTTGAGCTTCGCTTGTCGACACAGAACTGTGTCCCCTACTTTAATATCTAGTTCTTTTACATAACTCTTGCTGTCTGCGTTCTGCTTCATTGTTTCTTTGCTCCTAGCGTCCTTTGTACGCACCTCTCTGTCATAAAGCAATATTTTCTTACTGGTAGGTGTTGGAAGACGCGTCTTATACCTTCGTCCATTGAAAAGGAGACTGGCTGGAGAATGCTTTGTCATTGTGTGTGGAGTAGCTCTGTAGGCCCTCAGGTATTTCTGTAATTCCTGTCTCCAGTTTAGACGCTCTTCCGTGGAGGAGCGAATGATTTTTCCTAGGTTTTTCATAAAATTTTCGGCCATGCCATTCGCCCATGGTGCATATGGTATTTTCTTTTTGTGCTCAAAACCCATGTATCTTGCATACGATTTGAATTCCTCACTGCTATATGGTGGCCCATTGTCACTTGCTATTTCATCTGGGATTCCTAATGTTGAGAGAATTTTGTCCATTGCTGGTATGACTGCTGTACCAGAAGTTGAACGCACGATTTCGACCATAGGAAATCTGGAGTACAGGCATTGTACAACCAGCAGGTATTCACCAGTGTCTAATGGACCATATAGGTCTGTTGCAAGTTTAGACCATGGTTCTGTGGGTAGTTCTGTTGGCTTGAGTGGCTCTTGCTGATAAATATCTGTATTTGCCTGGCATGCCATGCATTGTGCAATTTCTGTTTCAACCCTCTTATCTAATCCCGGAAACCACAAATGCATGCGTAAGTATTGCTTTGTTCTCACAACCCCTTGATGTCCCTCATGAGCAAGGGTTGTCACAGACTGCCAAAGGCTGGCAGGAACAACAATTCTGCAACCTCTGAGCACTAGGCCATCCACTACTGATAGCTCTGGAAATATATGTGTATATGAAGCCAATTTCCTTTTCTGTTCTTTGCTGATGTATCCCTGTGAGATCATTTCTTTGAGAACTGTCAATGTTTCATCCTCTAGTGTAGCTTTTAACATGTGTTCTTTTGTTACAGCTTTGGGAAGGTTGGCTCGGACAACTGCATCAATGTATAGCATATCCTCTTCTATGGATTTCTTTGTTACGGTACACACATCAGCTAAGACAACTGGATGCCGGGAAAGGTAATCAGCTGGATTTGTCTTCCCCGGCTCGTGAATTAGTGTGTAGCTATAATCTTGCAGCTTCAACTTGTCCCGCAGGATTCGTGCCGGAAGTTCTGCCTTGTACTGGTTGTACAAGGGTAACAAAGGCTTGTGATCTGTGCTTGCAATGAAATTTTGAAGGCCATGTAGATAGATATGGTTTCTCTGCATGGCGAATGCTAGTGCAGCACTCTCAATTTCAATTTGTGAGTAGCGACTCTCAGTGTCTGTTGTCGCTCTGCTGTCGTATCTGATTACTTTGTATTGTTGTGTTTGGGGCTCAAGTTGTGTCAAGATGCTAGAAAGGCCATATTTGGAGCCATCTACAATGAGCTTTGTTTCTCGTGTTGGGTCAAAGTATGCCATTGTGGTGTCTTGTGAGAGGGCCTCTTTAATTGACTGAAAAGCCTTTTGACAATCATTGGTCCAGTTGAAAGTAACATTCTTTCTAGTGAGCAACCGCAACGGGGTTGTAAGAGCAGAGTAGTTGCGAATAAAATGAGCACTGAAATTAGCCATTCCCAAGAAGGATCGAACTTCAGCTGCAGATGCGGGTGGTTGGGCATCATGTAGAGCCTGTACTTTGTCAGGTGATGGTGACATTCCTGCTGATGAGAAAGTCATGCCAAAAAACTTGATTTCTGGTTGGTTAAAACTGCACTTTGACATGCCAAGTGTTAGACCGCAGTCCTCAAGGCGCTGTAATACTTGCATAAGTGCTCGATCATGTTCTTTCTGAGATTTTCCAAACACGATAATGTCATCATAGATGTTTTCAACATGTTCAATATCCACCAGCGTTTGACGAATTTCCTCATTGAAAATCTCAGCAGCTGAATTGGTGCCAAAATTTAACCTTTTGAAACGCCTCAGGCCTTGATGGGTGTAGAACGTTGTCATGTATCTGCTTTCTGGGCTCAGCTCGAACTGCATGTAGCCTTGACGCATGTCTAGTTTTGTGAAATGCTTGGCTCCATTTAACTTGTATCGCAGTTCTTCCAATGTGGGGATGACATGACGTGTGCGCCGGATGGCAGTGTTAGCTGTGGTCATATCAAGGCTCATTCGCAACTGGGATGGATCAGCTTTTGGTGTCAACACGACATTTGAAACCCACTCTGTTGGTCCATACACTGGCTCGATGATGTCTGCATCTTCCAATTCTTTGAGAATGGCTTCAAATTGCTCCCTCTTTGCAAATGGTATTCGGCGCTGTGGTTGAATTTTTGGAGGTACTGACTTGTCCACGGACAACTTCACAACTCTGTATCGATGTTTGCCAATACCTTCAAACACCCCAGGGTACTGATCAACGATGGCCTTAACTCTGTCTGTTGCATCTTGCTTATGTTTGTAGATATTGTCCAGCCGCTGTTCGGAAGACTTTTTAGAGGTGAGATGCTCTGCCATAGCTGAATATGACATGTGTTGCGTGACGTGAGTGGTGGCCTTGGCACTCTTGTTTCCCTGTTTTCTTTCCTGCAGCACATGGTGCATGTCTTGCATGTCTGCGGTTAACTCTTTCACAGTGATGCTAAGCAGACTCAGATCAAAAGCAGTGTACTTTCCAATGAGAGGTTTTTGTCCTGATCCTGGAACAACATACACGGTTGCAATGGCCTGCTTTCCATTGGCTGTTAGCTGTGTCTGGAAGGATCCTTTTACCGGAATGGGTGGAGAGTTGTATGGCTTGAGCTTGACTTGTGTTCTTCTAAGTTTTGGTTTAGGGTGCAGCTGGTGGTAGAGGCTTTCATCAATGATATTTGCATCTGCACCTGTATCAATTTGCATTCTCAATTTTGTGCCCCCATCAAACTTCACCTGCACCATGGTATCCGGATATCGTTTCTTGCTCTGGATAGCATGAACTGGTGTAGTGACTGCATCCAGCTTGAGAACAGTTGGTCCTTCCACAAAATTGTTGTAGATATAACTGTCTTGCTCTGGATTTTCATCAAATTTTTCTTCTGTGTCAACCGTTTTGACTGGCTTTGTTGATTTTCTTGACTCACAAACACTAGCAAAATGATTTTTCTTATTGCAGCTCTTACAGGTTGCACCCATGGCCTTGCATTTCCCTTTGTGTGGTGTTCGCTCTCCACAATAGCGGCAGATCTCAATGGTTTTCCCTTTAGACTTGTATAGATGTTCTGCCTTAGGGTGCTTTCCTTGTACAGCATAGACAGGTGTTGGTGTGGCTGTAGCCTCCATATTGTGTTGCTTCATGAAGGCAATTTCTCTATTGGTAAGCTCAATAGAGCGAGCAGTAGCTAGGACCTTCTTTAAGTCCATATCTTGAGCAATTATCTCCCTTTGTAATTTTTCGGAGTGAGTGTGCAGTGTCATCACCAGTGTGATTGCAGAATTTAAATCCATCTCATTAAATTCACAATCAGCACCTTTGATCCTTAAGCGAGTCGCCCAGTGATCATGAGATTCCTCTGGGGAGGTGGGCTTGGTGCAGAAAAATTTGTAGCGCTCCGCAGCTAAATTTTTTTTCGCAGTGAAATGTGCAGTGAGAGCAGCTGTGGCGGTTGAATATTTTGCATCCGCAACTGTCAATGTTGCAAAAAGCTCCCGTAATTCAGAGCCACCAACAGCAAGCAATGCAGCTCTTCTCTTTGAAGGCCCCTCTGCAGCGTCAGTGATGCCCTCAAAATCCATCACCAGTTCTAGGTTTTCTAACCAGAGTTTCCATCGGCGTTCTTGATTGCTACCAGCATCTTGTTGCACATCTGGATTAAACTCCGTTACGCACGCTTTAAGACCCACTAGTGCAGAGGCCATGCTTGTAAGAAATTTTTTTTTATGAAAAAAGAAATTTATAACAAATAAAAAAAACAGAATAGTGGTATATTACGGCGTTTGGGTGTGGTCCGTAGAATATACCAAAAACTTTGTAGGCACTAGTGCCGTGGTCCGCAAAATACACCTTGTCTATGCGGTATAAGCCTCGTGCGGGCAGACGTCAGGCCTAACTCAAAATGAAAAGCAAAATTAAGTCACTTTCCTGCTTGCTGCATTCATGACTCTGTCACTGCAGAAGAGCCAACTTGTGCTTGATGTTTATAAACACTTTCCATTCTCGTCGCCATATGAAGAGTCCTCAATTATACAGAGAGTAACACTCGTATAAAACGTGCTCCTGTCACTTCGGTGTTACATCATAATAACCTCATAATTAAACAGCCTCGTTTAGAACATTACAATTGCCACTCCATAGTTAACTTTTCTTCTACTTTCTTATATATATCTTATATCATTTAACCTAATTGTCTGCTATCTTAGTTGCCCTTTGAAAACACATGTTTCTCTCCTTGATGAAAGGTGGTAGGATGCATGGAAACACAGATGCATGGAAACACAGGTTTTGGTCTTTCTCTGCACATTCTTGCTCCTACCGCCCTTTCCAGTATTTTTATAGTGTGACTTATTAATTTTATGCTTTCACAGTCGCTACAACTCTACATGTCTCCTTTCTTCTTAAACCATGCACTCAAATATTTTGTCACCATTCAAAACAGACGATTAAATAATTTTGGCAGAGACCTTCCAGGCATTTCTTCAAGGATATAAAGGTCTCCATCGTATTGCCGTCAGGATTTTTGCTTCTTCCTTTTGGATTTTGTTTCTTTGCCGTTCTCCATTTACTACTTTATTTGTTCCTTTTTGTATGTTCTCAATTTTATCTAGAGTCTCGAAACAGTAGCAGTTTCTTCATATTCTGAACGGGTAATATGTCACTTTCTAACTCTAGATAAATCCTAGTTCATGAATATTGTATCTTCTTAATATTTTCACTCTTCTTTCATTTGTTGTCAATAGTCTGCTTATTAGGATGAATCTTGTTCGGTCTCTTTTGAATCTAAGGTATAACTTCCAGTTGCCTTTGATATTGCTTCCTTAGTGGCAACATTTTGGCTCACGTTTTTTAAGCTTCTCGGATCTTCTAAGTGCATTTTTGCGCATGTTCATACAACAATCACGTTTTGTTATTCTGATTCCTCGTACATGAAGTTACGCAATGAGTCATTCTGGCGGAATACCTGATCACATTATCCATACTTGCCCAGTCATTTTTTACCGCTCCCTCCTCTTCTACAGCACTTCCTGTCAAAATATTCGCCTTGTAAGTTAGAAAAAGGTGGGTATAAAAATGGTCTTGAATTCTCCAATTAAACGTTTTGTCTCATAGAGATGGAAAGTTTTTCACAGAAAACTAACATAACTTGAACTCGTCGCGACATGAAATTCTACAGAAGAAAATACTTTAATTGGAGAGATGTTACCAGAGGCCTTTAATTGATAGCGAAGCATCTATTTAATATAATAAAACCTCTTTGGCAAGGTGCAAGATCTTGTGTATGAATAAAGATAAAAACTAAACTAGCAAGCCTTGTGATAGATTTAGAATCTTTCAATGCTTGTGTCTTCTTTATTAAGAAGTTACTTTGCCAAACTGTTGCGTATGTCATACTAGGATAAACTACCCACATTTCTGTTGATTAACACCTACTGCAAAATAAAGATGATTAATTTATTTTCTTTATCATTCAATAAAAACACATAAATAGGGCTTTCAACAGCGACAACTTACTTTTCAACCGTTGCCTACAGAAAGGTTTGGTGAGCATCCGTCTTCAAGTATTCAGCTCTTAAATTTCAGCTCATCATAGTAATTAATTTCCACTGCATAAACGGCTGATGCTAATAAGACGAATTAAGACTGAGATTGTGTCTCAAAAAGCTGCTTGCTTAGATCATTGTATGCAGTAGGGTAGAGCCAAAAAATTTCGAGGGGGTGCCAAAAAATTTTATTCCATATTTTATACAAGATGAATATTTCAGTTGTTTTCCTTTGCATGGCTCCTCAGTATTAATTTATTTACCTTTCGATTTTTCTGAGTTCAATCATTCTCCAATGTTTACCTGTTACTTGAGTAGAAAAATCTTAAAAATAAAGAATTTGAAATAGCAAAATTTTACCAGCATTAATGAGTTTTCAGTTATCAAGAGGAATATTGAGGTCACACAGGAATGCAAATGTCAAAAACTAATAACGGTTCAATCAAGGATTTGATACTGGCAGAAATGAGCCATGATATTAAAGAATTACCCAGAAAAAGAAGAGGGGGCACAGCCCCCTATCAAAAAATAGAAGGGGGCTGAGCCCCCTTGAGCCCCCCCCCCTTCTACAGTCCTGATTGTATTCTATCTTACAGTCATTGCTTTGGTTTAAAAAAATGTACATTCTGCATTTTTAAGTTGTAGATGCATATAAACAGTTGTCGCCAAATGTCAGTGGGTAATTTCTCGTTCTTGAAATCAAACATCAAATCTGAAACACAAATATCAGTAGTAATTTTAAGAAGAGTAGAATTATAGAAGTGAATATAAAAGAATCAAAATTGATATAATTTTATCAAGCACATTTCTAGATGATTTAATCAAAAACTTTTTTCAACCAGCAAACGAGTCCTTTGAAGTTTATCGTTTCTTTTTAGATCAGCAAGAATAAGAAATTAAGTAAGTCCCCGCTTAGAAGACATATATATCTTCAAACTAGGCTAACTAGTCCCTTATTTGAAAGAAACAAATTTTAAAAAGGCTGGCTGATTTTTTATATGTTGTTCATTTAGAAACTCTTTTTGGGTATTGATTTCTTGTCAAAAAAACTTTTGATTCGAGGATCGTGCTGCATAGTAAACAAGGATAACCCAAGAAACGAAAATAAATTATTTAAATATGCAGTACAGAATATGTTTGAATTTTAATCATCTTTTTCAATATTAACTAATTTATACGAAATGGAAAAAAAACAGGCTGCCTAGTTTCTTGTAAAGGAGAAACTGTTCTCTATACTGGCAGGCTGCAGTTACTTATATGTCCACGCCTTTCCAGTGGGGACTTACTGTGTGCTTTATAGGTAGTTTATAACTGGTTTGAATTTGAAAGAGATGTTCTTGTAAACACTAATAATAATCCTGCAAAATTTAATTGACATTGTTAATAATTTGAGTAAATAGATATCTAGTTTGAGATTCATGTAATATCCGATATATATAATAAGAATTTTCGCGGACATCAGTTGAAACCATCAAACTAAGATGGCGTAAAAGTTCCTGGCTTGTAACCAGTCAATCAGTGTTCCAACATGAAGTACTTCAAACAAAAATCAGGCATTCTTTGATATACTCTTGTAATACTCACTCTTCTACATAAATGTATATTTACAGATGTGCTAAAATCTTGATTTGCACGCATATTAAAAAAAATTTCTACAATACCAATACTTTGATAATTTGATAATCTATATATTTGAAGAAATTATTCTATTCATCTATTTAAAAATATTTTGCTCTAATTAGCAATGGTCAATATCTCGCATATCAGACATAATAATGACAATTCAATCGTATGATAGAGCATAATAATGATAATACTATCGTATGATAGAGCCTAATCTAACTATTAATAGATTCTTTCGATTTAAGATATTAAAATTGGTAAAACATTGATTTAATCTGTTCTTTCGACGTTAAATACAAGAAATGATGTTACCATCAGTTTGGTATGGTATGCCATGCAGCATTCTTCAGGTATGCAATGCAGTCAAACTTGACAACTCCGAAATAAATTTAAGTATCCTTAAAAGCTTTATGGGGGTAATCAAAAAAATGCCTTTTTAGTTTGTCTTCCGGCCTGAAGTATTTTTGAGAGTATCAATTTTCAAATAATTTCAAACTTACCAAACAATCTGACTGTTTATTTTGCTATTTTAAATTTTTAACAAAACCTGAAGATTTCTGAAACTGCACTTTTCAAATATCGATTTTTTCCTGGGAGCTTAATCGATTTGATCATTAGAGTAGGGTACGAATGACTACTAATCGTGCAAAAATTACACTTGTCGCAGAGTGACACAATGTCACAGCCAACTTTAAAGCGCTACATTGAATAGATATCTTTAGTTTATATACAAAATTTAAAATACGAAATAAATCGCACACAAACTGCAGTTTTCAGATATTTATTTTCAATTAGTTAAAAGATGAAAAGTATTTGTTCGACTGGAGAGACAGAAGATTCCTTGGCTGCTCGTGTCGATCTTGTTTGATTGCAATGGTTAGTTGATCTTCTCCGTGCATCTTTCTAACGTGTTTCTTTAAGTCGAAGTTCCTGCAGAAGCCTTTGCCGCATAGTTGACATGTATACGGCTTGTTTTCATTGTGGGTGTGCATGTGAAAAGTAAGGTTGTATACCTGGTGAAATGCTTTCGAGCAGATATGACACTTGAATGGTTTTTCTCCAGTGTGAGTCAGTCGATGGTTCTTGTAGTTACCTTTCTGGTGAAAGCCTTTCCCGCAGATTTCGCACGTAAAAGGACGGTAACCCGCGTGTATCCTCATATGAGTGTTCAATGTTGAAGATCGATTGAAGGCCTTTCCACATTCCTTGCACTTGTGCGGCTTTTCTTTTGTGTGTATTATTTTATGTCTACATAGAGTACTTGCCTGTCGAAACCCTTTGCCACAAGTCTTGCACTTGAAAGGGCGTGCCCCTGTGTGTACAGGCATGTGACGAGTCAGATTATAATGAGCGTTGAAAACCTTACCGCAAACTTCGCAGGTGAAAACTTTCAAGCCGCTGTTCCGCTTCTTGCGAGGCTTGTTACATTCGTCTTCCCGCGCAGCTAACTGCTGCAGCCTTATGGCGGACGCGAATCCCCAGTTGTCAAACCCATTTACTTTCTCCTGTGAGCTCAAGCTGAAAGCAGAGCTCAGACTATGTTCACTAGAAGTGGGTGATGGTATAATGTCGTCTTGTGAATCTGTGCTGCCTGTTGAGTTTGGTCTGTATGGCTTTTTAAGCCACATGTTATCATACTCACTATGCACATCGCTCCAGAAGTTCGGGATGGCAAAAGGGAATAATGCTGGCTCTTCGATTGCTCGCTTGTACGTTTCGAATGAAAATGGAAATGTTGGCTTTGGCTTAATCAGTTTGATTCCGTCCGCCTTCATGCTTGATTCTTTTCCTGGACATTTTAGAGTTGCGACCTTGCAATCTCTGAGCTTTAGATCCGAGGACTCGAACATCGTTGTCGGTCGCTCATCATTTCCAATTTCGTCATCTGCAGAAAAAGAATGTTGTTAATGGAATTCTCCAATTTACTTATAATCCAGAGCTACTTCACACTGATAATCTCTACCAAAAAGAAATTTATTTAAGACAAAAAATCTGTTTCTGTTTATTATGTTTGATATCAAAATAATTCGTTGATATTTTCAATTGGCAGATCAAAGCACTTGCCGATAATTTAAAATTATTTGGATTAGCATTTCTTCGAAAAGTTCTGAGGCGAAGTCAAGAAATATTTGCAAGGAAGAGGTGGCTGAAAGAAGCCAACTTCGCAACTATGACCATCATAGGTACGATACCAAGTTGAATTGTTTTTTACACCATCGCTTTAAATGAACAAGCAGCTCGAAATCCGTTCGCATGAGCTGTGAAGGAATTTCTCATTAAAACTTCATCAAGCGTAGGTCGTTCTCGCGACTATTCTCGCAACCATCACAAATATTCGACAAATCTAAATAGACAACAATAGGCTGCAATTCTAACATAATAGTGAAACGACTACAATCCTACTACTCGTTTTCCAGTAGAATATCATTTTTTGAGCTCTTAAAAGAAAGATCGGTTTACAGAGAAAATTTGAAAAAAGTTTGCTTCATAAATTTCTGGACAAAGAAAATTTTTGGACTCTTCGTCAGTTACTTCTACTATCTTTTGAAAATTGAAAAAACTTCGTAGACTTCTCTTGCACGTTTTATCGAAATACAATAAAAAAAATTGCAAAAGCAAGTAACAAAGATTAAAACGGACATCAGCTAGGCAGCACTGCAGAAACAAGTCACTGTACTTTTGGAGGTAAAATGAAATAAATCACGGGAAATCAGTATCTAGAATTGTAGCCTTTGAAATCCAGCTTCGCACTTGTGGCAATGCGTAGAATAACTGTCGGAAAATTGATGCTATTTCGATATCATGCCTTACAGACTCTACGATTTTTAACTTTTCAGTCAATAGAAGTAACGAAGCAAGAAATAAAAGCTCAAGCTGACTCTGGAAAGCCGGGTTCCTAGATTGGCATTTTTGCAGAAGGCGAATTTTCTAGCTTAGGAAACTATATGCTTGGATCCAGCAATGATTATTGAGAAAATGTAAACGATTTTCCTAAAAGTTAACTGGTAATGAAAAGAACAAATTTATTGGCAAAGGGACTGTTTTTAGAAGGCGAGACGCTAACAAATCTGTGCTGTTTGAAATGCTAATATGGCGTCTCGGACATTCCTTCACTCTCTCCAATCTGCGAGTGCCAGCTTTTCAGATAAGTTAGGTTTTCCATGGTCACTATTGACAAAAGTAAATGGGACTAAGAATGAACGTGTCTGTACCAATGAAGATGAGCAATGAATAAGAAAAGATTTGGAAATGCAAAAAAATGCAGAAAAAATACTCACCAGGTTTGGCATCAATTTTGGCAAAAGTAATGTCTCTTGCGCGCTTCTTGACAAGGAATGAACGAGGCATTTTTGTATTGTCTTCAAATGCGTTGTCACCAAAAGGGCAGTTTAACGCTTGGCTGGGATTTCTTGCTTCCTGCTTCTTATCAGATGAGTTGATACGAAAATCTGAGTCGCGAGCCGTGCGCGTGCGACCTTTAAAGCAGCGACGGCGCGTGTCCGCTTTTTCTATGAGTACAAAAGGAGGCAGCTGAATTCGAAGCGAGATGGGGAAATAATCAGCGGTTTATTCTATTCTGCTCTACGTGAAATAGCTGCACTCACAAAAGAACAATGCAACTGGATACTCGCGCGCGACTCGGACAATGGAATGTGATAATCTTTCCTTCACAGACAATAGGATTTCAGATGACATTCGCGCGTACACAACGTCTTTATTATTGACAAAAGATTAACCAAGCAAATTATAATTTCATATAAAAAATTGCCCTGTTTTCATATACAAGCTCGTAGTGAAATCTTAGGTATGCGATACAAATTAATTGTAGCCTCAAAAATGTCTCAAGATATCTGCCAGCCATAGGGTAATAGATAGAAAAGGTGCAATGATATTCTTGAACGAAAGCGCTTGTTTTAAAAGGAGCCTTTCAGAATGAATGAAAAGAAAAAAAGGGGCGTCCTCGGTACCATGCAATGAATGGACGTCTTTAGAGTAGGATGAGCTGCTGTGGTCATTAGCGTTGATTGCAAGCAGTGTCCATAAGTTGCTATTTTTGTCATATTCCACATATTCCTGTACCTTTGGTCTCACACAAGAGAAATTCAATCATATAATTAGGCACAAATTTGAAAATTTTTAAGACGATCAAAGCGATCAAGGGGAATTCGGGCGTTAAAGACGATCAAAAAGAGCTTGAGCCTTGCAGAAATCTATTGTCCTGTTTTTGAAATAAACTCTTTTTAACTGATTAGAAAAACAGCTTACCCTGCCTGCCTTGTGCACATTTTTTTTACATCTAGATTCTAGAAGACTTTTTACAGCAAAAATGTTTTCTGCGAACAAAGTACGGCAAAATTAATAGGCGTAAAATGCCTTGGCTGAAAGAAGGAGGACAAAAAGTGAAATTTAATCATTACTGGAGAAGCATGTTGGTAATAATGAGACGATAAGTAGTAATTGGTCCGTACGGTTTTCGATTTAGAAAGATCATCAAAAATGTCAACTAATAAGGAATCTCCTGACACTTTATTTAAAATATAGATGTGAAGAAAATCGAACTCTACCAGCAGTTTTGCTTTCTTAAGACCTTTTTACCTCTTTTTATAGCAAATTCTGAACATTGTAAGTCTATTACATGTTTGCGTTTGACAAGACTTAACGTGACCAACTTCAGCATGTTCCTAAGTTCTCCATGTGACGTAATATCGAAAACGGATTGGCGAAAAGGGGTTGTTTCAGATGACCACTTCTATTATTGAAATATCGATAAGAAATTGGAGATGGCTGTCTGCATACAACCTGTCACAATTTTTAAAATTACTTATTTTTAAGATTAGCAAAATAACGGATTTCAAGCATGAATTTTGTTACAAACTCCCATCTTGTAGCTTAGATATTTGAAGGGGGGGAATCAAAAAGCAGATTGTTACAAACACACCACCTGAACTCGTATAAACCGGTATCAAATTTATTAAAGAAAATGAACCTGCTGCAGACGGCTGTGGCCCGTTTCATGTCACGTAATCTATGATATGTGTATTTGTCTAAGAAGACAAAGATTTGTGAAAAACTTCTAAGAAAATGTGTTTTAAAAAGCGAGATTCTTTTACAGGGCCTTAGAGGACATGTTGGTGCCCCAAAACTTTGAGTAATACTTGCTACATTGAAACGTTGAAAATTTTAGAAAAGAAAGAAGGAATTAATGCTGCATTCTTTTGTGTGGCTTCATGGTTTGGCTTTCGCAAATTGTAAATCAGTAACAAAGGCTTACGGAAAAGGCGTTCGCGCCTAGTTTGATGAACCGTTTTACCGTGTATACCAGGGGTGTAGTGCTAGGGGGGCCAAGGGGGCTGAGCTAAAATTATGTGCAAGTGTCCTCTTGTTATTTTGATTGCACTACACCACAGGTGCATGCTAAACCAGTCATACTGCACACAGAGTAGCGTTGCAGTGGAAGATGGTGACCGGGCATTCGCGTCAATTTTCTTACTTCCACAATATGTATAGAGAAAGTTCAGACCACCTTTTCACAGTACTATGACATTATAAACTTTAATTTATAACAGTGACGCTAACCTCCTTATCAAAGGTTGTGATTATCAAAAATGTTTTCCTGGGGCAGTCCCTCGAGCTCCCATCTCTTCTATCCTTTTACCATTCTCAACAGTAATGAAATAATCTTCTCTTAAAGTTTTGAAATGAAATTTTCAATTATTTGCAAAAAGGACCAATCTTTGATTTTTAAAAATATATCACGCACCCCCTTACGATACCCACTCCCTTACGATATCTACATATCTTGCCCCACCGTTCATTGAATAGCATATTTCATAGTCTGCTTTTACGATAATGCACCTTTCGAAGGTTCTTCCTTCTGGTGTAATATGCGTTTTGGTACTCTATGCAAAAGTGTAACATTGTGGAACGCAATGTGTTTCATATCATGTGATTTCATCGTAGTGCGATATTATTTGCATTGATTTCTACTTAGCATCCAAGCGTAGATTTTTAGGACACTGAGAAGCCTATGCTTATCAAGCAATCAAGCAGCGTCCTGGTCCTTCCTCTCAATGTGACCACAACTTGTGATTCCTACGCCTGAAATTACAGAGAGCTGGCGACTCTCCATAATCTGGGTGAAAGGGTCCGTGGTTCGAGTATCATACCTGGGACTAGAACCACGGACCCTTGGGTCTGCAGTCAGCGTCATTCGTTCGTGTACCTGGACCGTTTTGCATGCCAAATTCCATCATTCGTTTTGGTACTCTAATATTAAAGTGCTTGAGTACATTTTTGCATAACCAAAATTGCCATGCGTTGTGTACCTGGACCGTTTTGCATGCTCAATTCCATTCATTTTGGGTCTCTATTTTTAAGTGCTTGGGTACGTTTTTGGATAAGCAAAATTGCCATGTGTTTGAGTACCCGGACCAAATTGCATAAGGTTACCAAAACGCATATGAAACCGCACTATTCCTTTCAAAATTTTGAGACCTGGCTATCCCATTTTCTAACATCCTAAAATACAATACAGTCCTTTAAAACAAAAAGCAGAGAGACAGCTGATGGATCGTCATACACATTCCCATTATTTCTTCTCATTCAACCGTTGTGAATAAGATATGTTTTAAAACAATCATTTCGTGGTGAGAGATAAAAAAAAGGTTTGAAAAAAGCAAACATTTTGAAACATATTGCTAAAGCTTTTCATCTGACACTCTACAGACTATGAAACGTCAGAACATAGAGCTTTAGCAACATGTTTCAAAATGTTTGCTTTTTTCAAAGCCATTTTTAAGTTATGTTCTATGCGTGCTACATGCTGGCCGCTCAAGTTCAGGGCCACAAATACAGTATAAAAAACGACTTTTTGTTCAGGCTCAAATTCTAATCCCAATAGAAGCCTGCATAACATCGATCGAATATAATGTAGCGTCTAGCTTAGACTCAGGGGCGGATCCAGAGCAAACTTGAAGGAGGGACAGTTTATAGTGGAGGCGCTGAAAAACTTTCAAAAATTGATGACGAGAGAACGCTGTATACAACAATTTCAGGTCCATTTTCGGAATAAACAACATAACTTTGAAGTAATCCTTGAAGCAAATTAACCTATTGGTCTCAGAAACTTTTCCACTTGATTCTCATTCTTCAAAATGGGCGCACAATTTCCAAAAAAGGGGCGCCATACTTGCTTCAACTCGTCGAGGGAGGGGCAACTGCCCCTAGTTGCCCCCCCCCCCGCCTTAAATCTGCCACTATTTAGACTCGATCCGTTCTAACTGCATGTCTTGTCTAATCTAGTTTCAATGGCATTGGAAGTTCATTTTGGGTGAGCTCAACAACAACAACTGTGGAGGAATAGGTCATACAGCACTATTTCTAACATATTCCAGTTATCTACCAATAGTTTCATGTCACTTACAGCTATTAAACACAAGCGTAACATTATTTTCTTCAAAATACTCAAATTATAAAAGTGAGAATGACTACTGTCATTTAAGCGAACATTTTATTGGAGGTGAATACCTAGAAATTGTTTTTATCGTGGAACAATTGGTGAATTATTGTTTTAAACGTGGAACAAGGTTTTTGAAACGTGAAACGTGGAAAAAGAGACGCATGTTTCGAATGGTTTTCTAAAATAATTCTCTATCTAAAACTGGATTAAAATATTTCCATGAGACTTAAGGACTGGCTAAAAAGCACACCCTTGTACGACGCCTTGGTGTATCACGGAGCATGCACTAATCGCCGAGGGAGCAAAAATTCGCTACAGCATCAAAAGTATCCACGCAATTAAAGAATTGTTTATTTTGAAACTGTTAAATAAACACACCACTGCCCCATGTTTTCTTTAGAACAATGCTTTTTTAATGTCACTTTGGTGTACAAACTGGATTGTCTTCAAATGGTTACCGCATGCCAGAGTTGTATTATTATGAAAACTGTTTAGAAAAGGTGCTAATTACTGTACGGTGAATTATGGAAAAGACCCCGCAGAATTAAAAAAGCACATCATTAAATACACTTCACGGGAAGGTGCGATAAACAAACTCAGCACACGTGCCACAACTATCCAATTTATGGTTCAATGATTTCGAAACCAAACAAAATAAATGAGCAATTACCGGATTTAAAAAGACACAGCCTTGTGATCAAACAAATGATACTTCTCGGAATCTCAATCGCAGGTCCTCGTGGTATCGGAAAACAGAAAGAAGTATTATATAGAAGCTGTCAAAAAAGCGCGGCAATATGTTTTCAAATATATAAAACAGTTTAGAAGTCCAAGTAAAGAAACAATAGATCTGTTTATTGATTTTTGAAAATAGGTTTAAACTACAACAAATGCAAAACTACTTGGACAACCTAACAATTTTCGTAATATTTTTTATTCTTCTTTTTGCCTTAATATTACTAATTCTACCCCCTCCTCCTCCCCCTTAAGAACAAGTTCTGGTAAATGATGTTCAAGTCACTTGACAAGCACACACATGCTAAT